ACTCACTCACGGCTAATGTTGTTGCAGTCACTTCTTGGACCCACCAATTTCGCCTGTACAACGCTTGTCCTCTGTTTTCATTGGCTTGTCAGATACTGTATTATACATGCCGCACCGTATGCCAAGCAATACAAGACATGAGCGCTTTGGATTTGGTTCGCGCTATAGCATTTTAGAAGCGAACACACTCTCGTAGATTGATTACCGTACGTTATTGTAATATAGCTTACCGTTGAGGAATACGTACGAGTTGTACTTTTGTTGTACGTTACATTGAATTTTGGCCAGATCATCATTATCACCGCGCAATGCATTGGGAAAAACAGAAGCATAGTTCTGAAATACGATGACCATACTGAAGCAGGTTTTCACCAAAACGAATACCTGGAATCAAGCAATTTTAACGTCTCAGCGTTCCACTAGAGCGAAATTGAGTGTCGAATTAAATTATCGAACAAAACAGGACAATCTCGCGTGTTGAACGTTTTACGTTAATTTTGTACTCAATGGCTATATTTTATAACAGTCATCTTACTTCGTACCGCATTTTTGTCCGATTTGTTTACTATGCCGTTATCTTCAGTGGCTTTGATACTAGTGAGCGCTACAAGATAATGCCGTATTTAATTTTTATGCGTCGATTATTATCGAATACACATGTCGAAGTGTGTCAAACAGAAAATTTTGACCAAACCGATGAACTGTAATTATTCTCATTGGTATTTCCTGACAGAGCAATATGGCGTACTGACCCGGAATTGACCAGGCCTGAACGTTTTCCTAATAGAGTTCCAATATTAGCTCGTCACATTTAAGATTACATAAAAACAAGAATACGTCTTTAAAGCTTTAGAAGCTTAAATAGCCGAAAAACCAATCCGAAACTGTACAGTCTTCCGGGGCATAATACTTCCATTTGACCTAGTTATATTTTACCAGTCTGAATATCATTGGCCTGTAGATCTTTCCCTGTAGATCCTTGTGGGTCGATCATTAATTACCGGACAAAAGAAAGCAATAGACATTTGATTAATGTAACATGATTGCCGTATTATTTGCGGCCCCTTATTCACCCCAGAGGAACCTGTACGGGTCAGTGAAGGGAGAACAATACACTAACTTTAGTCCGTTCCACATGTTTTTGCTTGTGCTCACGGAAATTGCCAGTAGTTGCTGCAACTGCTTATTAGTCGAACTTCTTAAACAAATCGCAGAAATATTCAGAGCGCTTTGTCTTAATGTCATCGTTTCAACCCGCAAATTTAACATAATAGACATATAGCTGAGTCGGGTTGGATCAGTGTTGTTACCATTTAAAAGCTCAGATTCGAGTAGATCTGCTAGAATCGTTGGAATGGCTCGATTCAGAGTCCGATAGTGAAACTTTTTTTTGCAAAAATATGCATTATTTTGTAAGTTATAACGATAAAGCGATGAATTGTGCCCGTGCCCATAAAAATTGGGCTGTTCATGCTTAAGATGCATTATTGGAAGGAACGGTTTAAAAATGGCTTTGTCGTCGTCACCTTGGAAGTTTCGACGTGAAGGATGCCCTTCGCAAGGGCTGACCAATTATGGAAAATGTTGACCAATTATTGAAGCGAAACATCAGTTATCAAATAGCTTTAAGCCATTTAAAGGTGGCCGACTGCAAATAAAAGCTCGATGCTTGAAAGCCATACGAATTTTCAGAAAAAAGCTCGCTCGATCGTCTGCGATTTCCGTCCATCGAATTCTACAGACACGCAACGATTTCTAGAGCGATTGACAACGGCTAATGAGAAATAAATCACAGACGACAATAATAGTCAGTGAAAAAAAATATACTACAAAATCTGTGACAAAGCCCAGAGTAATGTCGCACGAGGTGATGTTATGTGTTCGGTGCGATTAGGAAGAAATCGCGCATTACATGCTGCTGCTGCCACCGCCACCGCCTAGCAAAACGATTGTTTCGAACCTCTTCTGTCAAGTACTGCTGAGATTATAAGAAGCTATTGAAAAAATTTAACCGAACAAACGTTTTCCGCCACGGCAATGGAGGGCCATACGTATTTTTAGCAACCTGGCAAAAATTGAGAGAAATTGTATGTTAATTTTCAATGCATCCACCGTGTAGCCCAGGTTTTGCCCCATCAGACTATCATATGCCTCAGTGGTGTTGATTTAGGTTAATAAGAGGACGCAAAGGGGAAGGGAGCCAAAGGTTACTTATTTACTATTTTTTTTTAATCAGACACCACATTGGTGAAAACATGAAAAAAGAAAGGTAGTCGATTCGATTTCAACTTAAAAACGATCAATACTTTTTTGACAGGCCAGGATATATATTAGCAAGTCAAGTATACGGATTTTTTTACTATTTATATAATACAGTGCTTAGAATTTCAAGAGCAAGAAAAAAAGGGGTATTCCGTAAACAAGATCGTAAGAAGAGACGATGGCCAATATTTGAGTTGTGGTTAGATAGCGACAAATACAGAACGAATCGGCGATCTATAGATAGATGAATAAATGTGTTGTGTAGCAGGTAGAAGTCCTAATGAGTCGCCGTTTAGTCGACATCGGATCCCGAGATTGCGCTAGACATCTCGGTTGTAATTTAACGTATCCTTTAGAGGTAGTAAAATAGGGGTAATGACTGACTTACATTAAGGTATTATTCGTAAATATTCTGATAATCCTATCCGTGCCAGACTATTATGTCGCCAGAGGGATAACTTGAACGGATTGTAGTATTGACGACTCTTTTAGGGGAGCGAGTTTTTTTTTATATTCAGTCCATTGATAGAGTTAGTCGTCCCTTTAAAACGTATATAACTTCCCCTCGAAGAGCATATACATAAGCATAGCCGATACGTGAATAGCGAGGTTTTCGTAGTGTTATACTAACGGATAGATTTAGTGTTCCATAGATTATTTAGATTTACTGTAGTATCTAAATAGCATTTGTCTGTGTTAGTAATAATAAATATTGGTACTATTAAATAATAAACTATATAAATATACACATAATTTTGTTGTCATGCATATACCTCTTTCTATCATTGATCAGCTAAAAGGGAGGGCAAAGTTTCCTCACCGTTTGTTCACGTTGCAAACGACCACGTAAGACTTATGCAAGTAGGGTCACTTAAATACGATCGTATCAGCAGCTACATATATATATATATATAATTTGAATTGTACTCCTGTCTTTCCTTTTACTCTTTGCTCAAGGTTTGCAGATTCTAGATTCTGTGACCTACCGAACATATATATATATGTATATATATATGCTTTACATTTAGTGTGTAGCATGCATTGCGTAGGAACTGTAAAAAGTGAAACGGTCAGTTGCGCTTATCTGCTAGGTAACCTGTACAGTAAATCTTAGACTGCTAGGTCAGGACGTACCATCTGCATTCTGTCAATTGATATATAAATATAATACACTATATATATAAGCAGCTATACAGCCACAATGTCGGCAGTGTAATAAATAGATTCCTTTAGGTCTTTTGTTATAATTCGCCACTTAAATGAGTAGTCTGTAACCTTGTCTTGGTTAGACTGTGTCTTCTTACGCTGTTAAGCATCAGCGTCTGGCTTGCTGGGACGTTTTCGTTCGCCGTCGACTTTTCTTGCGTTTTTTGTGGGGTAAGTGGTAAAAGTGATATTTAACGTGGCAATAAGTTGAGAGTTCGGGGTCTGGAACTATTCGGAACATTTGGATACTTGAGCGATGTTACAACGCCAGAGGGACGATGTCAGCACGATCAGTAGTGAATGGCGCTATCACGTCAAGAGCTGCTGGATCAGGGCACGGATAGGGACCAAAATAGGATCCTCTAGTGACTAGTCTGTGTAACGTCCACAATAAGTTTTCACTAAAGAACGGCTGCTCAGTTGTATTCGATGTAGCGACAGAAGAAGTACACGAATTTGCTAACACATGTAAATAGAAGAAATTTCAATCAGATAAAAAAGGAAAGCGGCTGAGCTAAAATCGCGTAGGGTAGGGTGGATCAAACAGGCGGTCTCCGGTAAGTGGCCATTACTACTATAACTTTTACGGCTTATTCTGCTGATGCAATTACCAGATGCGCACCCAGTAGCGAGCTGATGACGTAAAATGATTCCTGACATTGGCTTGCCTACCGCCTGAACGGCCAAAACTGAACGGGGAATTCCGTTCAGACTAGATCACGCCACACGGAGTCTTCTCCGCGCACACTGTAGTACTTACAATCCGAATACAAAGGAGTGATCAACGGCCACAGTCAGCCAGTCAGGGGTTCAGGGGCGGGATAGTTGGCTCGATATAGTGATGATGAACTTGAAGCATAAAAGCTACGGGGAATGTTGGTGCCAGTTCACCTTGTCCACTGCTACGCTCCTGGCTGCCTCTATCCCCACAGCCGTCGTCATCTGTTGCGAATACCGAGTAGCATTCATGGCATCGGATCGTCGACAAATCACAATCGGTTTTATCGCTAAGCACCAATAGGTACGGTGAGGCTAAATCCGTCTGGCGAAAATTGATGCTGTATGAGCCTCTATCACTGCAGGCCATCAGCGGCGGCAACAGTGTTGACGTTATCAGATTTACTGTTGCTGATCTTGGTGTTGTCGCTGCCGCTGTCATAATTGGTAGTCGCGCTTTGTACGTGATCGAAGGACTACGTGGGTTGGGGGGTCGTCCTATGATGCGACGGTCGAACAAATGTTCAGGCGGACGTTACAATGGCGATGTGGATAGCGCAGTTGTCCAGACGTTGTTGTTGTTGCTGGTTGTGTCATTGTTTTCGTTTATATAGTAATGTTGCTGTTTTTGTTAGTTGTTCTGCCGACTTCTGCCCCCGTCTGTTGTTGATGTGACGCCACTAGATCCCCTTGTCTCGAGGATCTGCTCGTTTTTCCTCCTCCTTTCCCATTTTTCTGCACTGCGATCGTTGTGATGCTGCTGCTAGTGGCATCGGCGCTCGTGGCGATGGTAGCAAAGCGGGGGGTGACGCCACAACCATCGCCCACAAATGTCTACGACGACGACGACGACGAAGAAGAAGAATCCCTGCCGCTATAAAACCCTTTGGCCCCCCGAGTCAGAACACCGAATACCTCAAGTCCCTTCCACAACTGTGCGCTCAAACCGACCTCCATATACAGAAGGTCAACAAGTTCTCAAAACATCGATAGACGCTTTCCCATACAAAGGAATAGCCAGTGTTAGCCAAATGAAGGCATTCATCGTGTTGGCCTTTGCTACCGCCGTGGCTCATGGCGGTTTTCTTGGGGGTGGCGGCGGTGGAGGTGGCTTTGGAGGCGGTGGCCACGAGGGTGGCTTCGGAGGCAGTGGTGACCATGGAGGTGACGGTTACTTTAGTGGCGCTGGAGTAATCGAGCCGCGTACCAGTAATGCTGGCCAGGACGAGGACAACGCGGCCTTATCGGCCGTAGGTCTCGCCCGTATGCTTGGTGCCAGTAGCCTGAGTGGCCACGGAGGCCATGGTGGCGAAAGCAGTGGCGCCACTTACACGATCTCCGGACCAACCCAGGTGATTAAGTCGGTCCATAAAATCACAACTACTAATGCCGGTGGTCAGGTCTTATCACGCAGCGCAGGTAGCGGCGGTCATGGAGGCGGTGGCCAGTCAAAGATTATCATCATTAAGAGCGCAGGAGGCAGTGCAGGTCACGGAGGCCACGGAGGCCACGGAGGGAATGGTGGCGGCGGCGGATGGCAAGCCGGAGGTAACGGAGGCAATGGTGGAGGCGGATGGCAAGCTGGAGGTAGCGGAAATGGCGGTGGATGGCAGGCCGGTGCAGCCGGGAATGGAGGAGCAGGTTGGCAAGCTGGAGGAGGCGGGAATGGAGGAGCCGGTTGGCAATCCGGAGGAGGTGGAAATGGCGGAGGATGGTAAAAGATTACCATCGAAGTCTCTCAGCCACAACGCCAATGGCAGTGTTAAATGCGCATTAGAAATATCATCATCTCAACGAGACTGTTACTACTAGACGCTGTCAGTGAGCTAACATTCTAGATCTACTAGGTTGATCTGTAGCTCGAACGCTATTCGCTACGCTATAGTACGCTATTATGATACAATGTAGTCAGGTAAGAGTTAATGACTTGCCTACTTCTTAGATATGAGCGTAGCCCTTGCTGGAATTGTAGATCAACAGCTAGTAGCGCGAGTACCTCTGTCTACGTATTATGAACATAAGTGAGCGGATGCGATTATTGGAAGGATAATTACTGCTACTACTTTTCCGAATGGAAGCTTCTGCCATAAACGTTAGGCGATCCCGCGTGCATCGAAGCAGGAGGCTGAGAGAAGTCCTGTAGCACATAAAACTCTGTATAGAATAGAACCACTAATGTATATGACATTTATATATAGATACATGACATGCACACAACCGAAAAACAAACACGCTTCTATTGTGTTAATAATGATGAACATAGGTGCTCTAAATGTACAGTGTAAATAAATGTCATGTGTATGTTTACAAAGATAAACGTCGTGGTCGTTAAAGATAAACCTCGTTTCGAAAGGGCAGTGTACTTCAATAACAATCGAACTTATAAGTAAGCCTGTTAGAATCAAACAGCATATGTGATCGAATTCGTAAAGGTAGACCCTCAAATTGGGTATGAAACATAGTTATCTACCAATAGTAATAATAATATAGAATGCCAGTCGACCTGTTTACGTTTACACGTTGGTATTAAAAAAAAAATCGGAAACACTATTAGAAAGCTTAGCCTGACGTTATGACAAAACCGATAGTGGGAAGAAAGCCGAGTACCATAGTAATGCTTTAAGTGATCACTGATGAGCCTCGTGGTACGATAGGCTTAGCCTACCTGGCAGTTTGAATTGCGCAGATGATAAACGCGTTAAAATGTTTAGTAAATATTATCATTCAGATAGCTTCGGCACTGAATATGCCATTCATAAGTATAACTTTTCTATTCCTACTTGAAGGTGGTTTTTCTATTGAAATCCTGCTTAGATTCAGTGCTTAAGGTATAAATCGCTTACTCTAATGGCCGAGGGACGGCTTACAATGTATTGTCTTGTAAGAATGAGACATCTCTGTGTTACTGTTATGCGCTTGAAACAATTACTACCTAAATTTATTAAGGTTATTATATTATGTCATTATTAAGGTTATAATAATATATTGTAATACAAATTAATTTTCAGGTAACCAAATATAAACAATACAGGACAAAATGGATGTGATAGCTTAACTAAAACTTAGAAGTTCCTTCAAGGCGACCGCATGGATCAGCGAATAAGACTAGTTTAAGCGGTACAATTTTATTTAACAAAAATATCGATCTGTCAATAGTTTTTCGCATAGAACACAGGGAGCATTTGCGAGCTAAGAAGCTTGCCGTTTGAATCTAATAGGTGACCGAATGTTGATATACCTAAAAACAGAACAACGTCGATTCCACGTAAACAGTAAAAGAGTAGACGCTATTTTTATGGAAATCGTTTAGCGTATAAGAGACTAAAGGATAAGCAAAGTTGAAAAAGAAAGCCAAGAAATAGAAATCAATGTGGTTTGTAAATTCATGTTCATGGCTAGAATCGATTTGAGAGCTTGATAATGCGTATATCTCTCTGTAATAAATCATATTTGTTTGTAAAATCATAATAATGTTATTAAAATCAACACAAAAACAAAGTTGTTCTCTCAATTGCCAATTACTATCCGACAATCCATACCTTAATGGGGTAACGCCAATTTTCAATTATGCTTATCAATTATGATGTATCCTGTCGTTTATGATGCATGTTATATATATTTGAACCCGATTTACTATTACTGACACTAATATAACTGCTGCCGGCACATCAACGGACGACTCTTCATATATGTAAGCGTCCAAGACCAAGATTATGCTTTAAGCTTACCTGCTAGATGTGCTACGGCTGCAATGTAAGGCATCGCACGCTTCACCTGATGCGGTCATTATCTGCCCTGATAACTCCGAACTTCTGAAGTAATATATAACATATGCAGATATGAATGTATTCTATTTCATATACAGTATAGTAAAAAAAAAAAGCTTATCTCAGTCTATTGTACTTTCATTTTAGCTAGCTGCAGCTTATCTGGCTTGTAGACTCACTGAAACAAAAAGTATCATAGGGATTATATAATGCGATCAAGCATGTATCGTGTATGTTGTTCATTTGCCCCAAAAAACGCCCTGTAGAGCTTTTGATTGCCTTTTAGCTCTGGCTGAATCTATCCCAATAGATTATTGGGACGTGAGGCCTATGAAGGTAAATTCGGATTTCTTTATCAAGTCCTAATTGCTTGTGATCTAACGAACGGCCGTTAATATTCATTTATATATTCAATGATGATGCTGACCTCTTGGTTATCCTTAGCTGCGCTACGTATGTATTTGTCTTTTGATCATATTCTTGCTTCGGGAACACTCATCCGGTCCTCGCTGCGGGCTTTGCGTCGCTTCTCCCATGTTAATACATTAGGACAGCCGCCTCTAGAACCCATCGTTTACACGATAACATTGCGTGTGCTTATAAGTAGCTCATGAGCACAGAACGAAAACGAATTTTCTAAGCGAAGTAAAGCTCGTCCCGCCGTTCTAAGAGGGGCCCTACTCCATAGAATACCGCTCAGAGACGAGTTAACTCTTATGGCATGTTTTGTTCTCAATGAATGTTTCGTTTGGGTGGCCTTGATCTTTCGACGATATACTCCAACTGAACTGAATTTTTCTTAACATCAGCTTGAGCCATTGATAGGAGTGTTTGGGAGTAAGGATTAGGTTGCCTGTCTAATATGGTGCTGTACATTCTGTAGCCTAGCCTAATTTAAGGATACATTTGATGCATTTGACAAAATAGCTAGTAAGCCTGCAACATTTATCCAGTTTACTTTTATCTGGTCTGTTATTGACCGCTGTCCATTATCAAAAAAGCAGTGATACATTTTAGCTTCAATCATTACGGGGGTACCTAGATCATGAAACCTACAACGAGACACATTTTAGTCGTGACCTAGCCAGCGGAGGAACTCATTGATTCTAGGAAGCTGACATCCCGATTCCATTTGGATATAACAACTGGCGTATAGATTATAGGGATCTTTCATCCCGCTTAGTGGCTTGATGTTCAATTGGAAATTCTACAGGCCAATTCACTAGATTTAATTTCCCGTAATTCTCTTCAGGTTTTGGCGGCGGCTTAGACGAAAAAAAACTTGCCTGGTTTCGAGCACTTCGATAGGAGCTAGAATTAATTCTTAATATTAAGAACATTTTTCAAAATAAGGGTCACGATAAAAACAATAGCAAATTCAGCCCTAATTGTTCTTACTAATTTTATTATATCGTATAACTAGTGGACTTTTGTGATAAGGACCTTGCGAGAAATTAAAACATGTACTCTAACAAGCAATCCAATTTGACGAGGGGCTTTTATTTACTTACTTCACTACGGTATATAACCTTGATCGATTTCAACACAACGGATCTATAACATTTTTTGCGCATTTTGGTGCTAATTTATCAATGACCAACAGTGCAGCCGTTGGGTGATCTTTAGAGCAAATTGCGCGCCTGTGTGTAGTTCAACGATGGTTCGCCTCTTTTCTTACGTCCATCGGCAACATTCGTAAGTGCCGTCGTTTTTTGAAAGACAACCGCAAAGGGGTGCTTAGACGAGCAGTCAACTAGTTTTTACTGCTGCGGCTGCTTCTGCTCCAACTGGAGGTCCGGCTTAGGGGTAACTACAATCAGACACCCCATATACCCACCCCACATATGATATAAATGAGTAAGCGTCGTTCTCACACACGACGCAGCCGTTTGCATAATCATCTCTCGTGATGGTGATGGCGACGACCCTTCTCTGGTGGCAAAGGTCATTCACATTAGGCCAACTATTCAATACGCATTTGGTCACGAAAATTTAACTACTAATACGAGTGCTTCAGCGATCCATAGTAACAACAATTGACGATTCAATTTGACGTACAAAGAAAAAGACAGCAAAAAAGATGTCGCTTGCGTTACGTGTTTTCAATCGTGATACTCCGTCCACTAGGTATCTCGGCTGACTCTCTTGTTCGTTAATATAATATATTATATCAAGATATTTATTATTATTGATATTAGTCGGTATCACATGAAACCGCATTCACAATGTCGTACATTAAGCCTCTGTCCCAAGCTAGATAGTCGTCCCCTCCATCGCCTCTAACCGCTTACATTCATTGTCTTTGATCAGGCTCTAGTTGTGCGATCAAGCCATTAGTACAGTGGGTTATTTTTGGCAAAAATAACTATCAAGAATTTTATGTGCAGTATTTTTTATCATCAGAAAGTGCACTGCGGTTGCGCGTGAACGACCGGCTGTAGGATAATATGCTGAAAAAAAAGCCCTGAATGTAATGGTGTTACAGACCCTGTTGGCTCCGCATTTGATCTATGATCGCTGAGTTGAATATGCTATTTTTTGTGGCTAGTCCTAGAAAATGACAAGGTTTTATCAGGTCTTCGATGTATATTGTTTATTTAAATAAGTTCTAAAGCGGCCTAAATAGATTAATTTCCACTTATTGGCGGAACAACGATGGCGCATTGATAGAGGGTTCGTGATGTATGCTTAACATGAATCATGTCTGAGAAATGAACGGATAAAAGCATGAGTCTATTCGTCCACAGGCAAATGTGGATAAATGTTTTGTACATGTGTGATGTTGCTTGTTACCATTCAGGCCCGACAGGCCAGCTACCCGATTTCAACATTTGTTTTGGTCGATGTTGTTAATTTGTACGGAATTCAGTTGGCCGAAAAATCTTCTAGATAGCGATATTTTTTAACACGAGAAAACAAGCCGCTTGTTTTAGCTGTGGGGCTCTTGGAAGGTTTTATAGCTGAAACAAGGAAATCTTATAGTTTTCATAACTATGTGGAAATGCTTCGTAATACATTGAGGAATAACAAAAAATGTATTAATTAAATATTCTGAAAGGCGTCGACTCATATTGCAAAGCTCAGAGTTAGAAGCTTTAGACAGAATATTCTAATTCCAGCCCTGGGCCCAACCTGGTAATAAGAACTCTGCTGAAATAAATACATCTAATAAATTAATCAGTATGTTAATTGATACTAGCGGTAATAGCCTAATTATCTCAGTCCTAATTAAACTATATTATTGACTACGTTCGATTGGCAAATTGAAAAAATCTAGACAAACAAAAATGGTTGCGGCCATTGGAAAACAGAGTCCAGAAGTCTGCATTGTCCTCACCACTAATCAAAATAAACCCTGGGTAGCTTTTAGGCATAAACGTGTCGTCTTATATAAAATGAATATTGGCAAGCTGTAAATGCTATGGCCAGTAGCAACACAGGACAACGTGTCGCTTGAGTCCTATGCTGTTCCTTGTAGCGTAAAAGCTTAGAGGCCTTCAGGCTCGATCGACATGTTAACGTAACAACTACCCTCTGCTAAATGTCAACTAAACTAGCAAAGGTCAACTTTTGCCAGCACCCATCTCGGCTGATAAAACCTTTTCGCTTTTTTACTATGAGAGCTAGTCCCTTCCCATGCTAATCTGGAATAACGATCTCTTAGTGATGAGAGCAGTCAAATTACAACTCAACAGCCTGAATCGCGAACGTTGGAACAGCTATTGAGATGAAACTACTATCTCTATTTCCAGTGAAACAAAACCTAAAGCCAAGCCTGTTACTCCTGAAAATAAACAAGGTCAGTGATAAGTCCCTACAGACTGTTCTACGAAGATCATGCCCAAATAGGATCGCTAGATATATACATCTAGTTCGAGCGAGACTAAGGCTAGAAACAATCTCAGTTGTTTGTCACGCTTTGCTTTTTCATTGTAAAATAAGTGAGTATGCTGAGAGGCATGACAGGTTCCTTAATCGACTCGAATTTTCCAGGTAGCGTTGTTGCATGTGGAAAGCTGGACTTGTTTAGTTCCTCAGCCCCGTCTAAACAATCAGCTAAAGTTGTGCAAGTAACGGCTTGTGATATGATTGTACCCGGGGACGCGCTAAACCCTGTGTGGTAGCCAACATTTAAAAACCATCGTATATGTTTTGTGGATCCTTGCTGATTCGTTGAAACAGCGCAAAAAAGTTACCGTTATTGAAGCGGTGCTTAAGTGGTCTATTTGACAGCAACCCTTGACCAATAAACTCGAGTCTTGTCTAAACTATCAATTTCAATGTTAACTTAGGTCCGCAATAATGCTTGTACCATACCTAACCGGCCTGATTAACTCTGTGTGACATTGTCAATCCACCTCGTTTTTATTTTTTCCATGTTGACAAACTCTTAGGTATTGGGCGAAAAAGTTGCTGCTTCGTTAGTACGAAATCGCAGGTGGCTCGCACGTAAAAACGTGTCACCACACGGAGGCCAGGCGACGAAAACAAAAAACACTAACGATCGTGACTGAATGACAACCCGTTTGAGTGCTCGTCTGTGTACTAAGTCGAGCTGAGCTAAACTCTGAACTGGTATCTTTAAGAATAACGGTATTAAGAACACGAGTATCTGTGATATCGATACGCCCTTGTACGTGATTCTATGGATTGTAGGCAAGTGACCCTGTAACACCCTCTGAAGAAATTATTGCAGATGAAGACAACGCAGACGTAGCTGACGAAGTGATTAATGCCAGAATTTGACTTTGAGTATTTTGTGGTGTGCAGAGACTGTTGCCAACATTCAAACGAGGGGCTAACAAGCCCCATGAATAAGTTAGGCTGCCATACGACCATTTTATGATGGCACGGACTCTTCGTTATCGTGTTATTGTTGTGTGATCGAAATAAATGTTCAAAAATTTCATGTGTGATTACAAGAGGGGCATAGATCGACAGAACGAGTATACTCCGTTGTGTAATACTGTGTTCTATTACTCTGTGGGATACATTGTATTGTCCATCGCTGGTAATGAAAATGCCCATAGGTGAGAAGAACGAGCGGACGCGGCTTCAGTCGACCGGCGAGGGAGACAAGGTAATTCAAGTCAAGCAAGGCAGACGTTGCCTGATTCTGATGTTGTGGGAAGACATACTCCTAGAAGATAAGCTTACAACAAAGGCGAAAGAACGAAAGGGTTTAAGCTTGAATTGCTTGTACGGTTGTGTGTGATTGATTGTGGAGTAGATAAGCACGCATGACTTCAATCGAGCATATAAGCACAAGATTTTCTTATTTCCAATGGCTCTTAATTTTGTAGTTATGATATGAGACAAAAGTTCGTTGGGCAAACCCGTTCTCCATTCAATAAGGTACCTAGCATATAGGGAACAGTCTCTGAAGGACTGATGTTTCTGGCCAATTATCCAGGAATATTGTTAATAATTGTCCTCTGTAATAATAGATCGTGCCTGCACTCTGTGTCTCATAGAAGTTTTTCGAAGTTCGAGATTATATGCGTTCCATTGAGCGCACGTCACTCGCAACTAGCTCTCTTATTTTCGTTCATGATGAACTAACTTATCGCGCATCAATGCCAATAATTTGTTTCGTAGCACCATGTACTTTACAATAAATATATTGTCCAGTGGCTTACATACTATCTATTATCGGATCATTTCTTACGGTGGAAATTTGGTTCCTGTTCTTGTTACTGTTGCTGTCGCTGCTGCTGTAGTAGTAGCACGCCCGCCCTAGCTGCAGCCATTTTTTACTTTGTTGTGCCATATGTTGTTGTATCGCCGGACAGTCTTACGGCGTTTTTTGTGTTTTTACTGTGTTCACTCCGGTCGGCTCGCCCGCCCGTACCCTTTTATAGATCAGTGTTGCTGTCCGTAAAGTAATACGTACATATGTATACGGCACTGCCATTCAGCGAAATTCTGTTCGTCATTGCTCACAGTAGTGAAATCCGTAGAAGTAGATATCCAATCGATAACGATCTGCGTGGCCAGCCTGGAACGGTAGTGTATGTAGAAAGGTATATGTGAGACGGCTGATGAACAGCTTCAGTACTTTGTGCTTTGCAGTAGCTGGTAGCGGTAATGGAAGACCTTGTAGGTTATGTAACGGGCCTCATAATAATGCCTGGCGAGGAGGATGTCATGACACAGCATGTTGCTATCAGGGCCACCGCGTCATGAGGGCAACTGCGATTTTTATTTCATTCGTCGTTGATTCTTCTGTAAACGAAGCCAATCAAAGAAAGCGAACTTTTCTTTGTCTCGTTACCTTATTCGGAAAAGAATAACTGGCGGCCAAACGATTCGATACGTGACTCGGCAGCTCAATGGCGATTGTGGCACTCCATGGCCGCCTATACCCATGAACGTTAAGTCTCGATGTTACAGACCAGGACGGCAGTAAGCGAACGTAATCATCTGCCGTTTAGCAAAAGTCTGCCAGTCAACAAAAAAGCCGGGAGGAAAACAACTGCATACATGGCATCAATTTAAATGCGTCGAAAAGGCGAGTACCAACAGAGCGGCAAGGTGATTTACCGGCAAAAGTGTATGATAATAGTGATAAAGATGAGTACATGTGAGCCAGTAAGGTTACGCGGAGTGCGCCCTGTGAAGATAGCGAAGTCTGCGAATAGCGCTGGCATAGTCAACAACTTCATTGAACACTAATAACAGCCTTCATTAATAGCCTAGGTACACATTTACCTAGCAAGCATCGTACGAAGGCAGGCCTTGTTGTACACCTTCGCGACGACGTTCAAATCAAAATGTCATCCTTATCACTAGCGTTCATATCTATATCGATTATACATATAGTACATGCATACATATGTGGTACTTACATTGGTATGAAGTACGTGCGGCTTGAAGGATGGCACCATATAACCAGATTTAATACGATGCGTGCGATGGATATTTGCCACATACACATCGAGTAATACAAATTGATTGCCAAAACAACATATATATATATATATATATATATATAATATGTAAAAAGCTAACTGTGCCTCGACTGCTGGTTATTATATAATTAGATATATTCATAATAATTATAACAGTGATATCAGCCGTGACCAGCGATGCGTACCTAATGCTCTTATTATTACCATTGATTTACAATGAATGTGATAGTAATCCAAGGGTAAATCTCGACAGCAATGCACGCCAATAACAATTTGTTTTGAACCGATCATGACTATGCGAAAACTTTTTTTTTTTCTACTTTGACTGACTACGCTGACTCCTATCACGGCGCGTTGAACGACATTTTTCGATAAATACAAAACTGGTCCTGCATACATGCCTGCGCACGATTCGTTTGAACTTGGAAACCATCTATAGCAATTAGATATATGTGCGATGTTCGTCTATCTGTCCGTTTATTTTGTCGCGCCTACTGCATAAATAATCAAGGTCTGTCCATTGCCCTACGACCGAAACACAGCTCACGACGCCAGGGCCACTTTTAGAAAACAAGTATATAAAAACTACTTTTTATATGCACATTGGTCTAGCACTTCGGCTAAACCTCAAGGCTCGAGGGGTTTCAGTTGCTTCCTGAATTTAGCTAACGTTGAACAGTTAACGGTGAGCTCGGCATATTATAGTACACAATGCAATTTACAGAAATCGATTGTGTTCTTCAGAAGCCCTCTTCGCGATGCTAGCCCTTCGTCAAAGTAAGTCATGCGGGCGCCGGACGGCCAGCTGTTCGTGTGTAAACTTTCCCGTCAATTTGTGCGCGTGGAAAATTACGAGACAAAAAAAATAACTAGCTACGTATTTAAGTGCGACTTCGTCGAAGCGTCTTATAGAGGTACTCATTTCGTAATAATCCCATCGGTATTGAAATCAACGATAAGATGCCTATAGGAAAGCCACTATCTTTCTGTAGACATCTTAACATCCCTTTCGTTTATGACAACGTTAAGACTTCACTATAAAGCATTAATAGCTTGAGTGACTGAGTTGTACCTGTAATATCGGTCGGTAGTTAATCTATGACGATCGTTGATCGGCGAACCATCAGAGACAGGAAAAAATCCGGTTCGAACCTTACTAGACGATCGTCTTTTTAAACTTTCCCCATATTAAGCTATGAGTAATGTCGGCAGAAAAGCCCTGGCTGATTTTCAGTTTTTCTAAATAATAAAAAGTACGATAAATGTTTCACAACAAAATACTATGTTTTGTCGCTTGTAAACTTCTAATAAACGCATGCGTTCGCAATGGTAGCGAAGGGTAGGCGGCTGGCGTTTCGGTTATGCATGATACGTCAAAGCAGACAATCTACGGCAGTAAGCCTTTTTACCACGTTTAAGCCACGGTTACGATGAACTATTATTCAAATGACCTATTGTTTTTTTCACAAAAAAGAGAACAAAAATTTACACAGCGTCAAACCTCGTTTCCCTACTCATCCTATTCAACAGACGAGATAGTTCTGGAAGTGACTGCCAGTTATCGCAATCAAAAGCTTGCCTTAGCCAGGCAGTGTCCACGTCGTACTAAAATTAGGCAATCTAAACGAAGACAAAGAAGATCTTCAGCGCAAAGCACTGCGCTTATTAGATCAATATGATGCTGTCTTTGTCCTTTGACCCCCGAGCAGAGCCGGTTCGGGACCTTACAGTCGCTATAGTTGAAATTTGTAGGATGAAATATCTGTGAACGTTTTCAACACCCTACAATTTGATCTTGTCAGCTGAAAGGAGGCAATGACTAAATACTTTCATAGCTCTCAAAACGATCGCGCTATGGATGAAGGAAGGCTCGTTTCGTCGAAGAGCGCTCGTTTGAGATATAGATGAAACCGCTACGCGATTTATGAGTAGACTATGCCCCTGTCTTTAATCATTGCGTCAACCTCAACAGTCTAACTATTGAATTAGATATCAAACTGAACAGCCTCGAACAAGTATACGCATGTGTCCTAGTATATTTTGTGCAGCCTCAGACATGCCCTAAAGGCCGACTCTTGTGATCGATTGATATTTACATGTCTGTATCGAGGTCTGCGCAGTAATCGCATTCGGAGCTCCCTTTGAAAAATCGAAATCCCTTGTGCTAGCTTCGAGCTGGCGCTCGTAAATAATACAGATCCAAGGACTCGGAAAGTTTCTCATTACAATCAGTGACAATGGCGCACATCGAGTGCATTCGACTTATTGCCACACGGAACTCGAACATCAGTCAGGTGCCAGCCACTTAATCACGTGTATGACGACTCAAGCTGCCATTTTTGACATATCACGTTAGAGCCCCAGATGTCGCCTGCATGTTCGATTCGCGCACACGCCCCTACCCGCTCCCAGGGCACAATATGTCCATTCGATCGGCTAGCAATTCCACTTCAACGGGTAAGCTTGTTCAGCGGTTTCACGCTCGTCTGTGTCGTATCCTTCTGAGCTTGAAATCGAAAACTCGATTTTAGCAGAGCATGCAAGCGAGCGCTATCTGTGTTGGGAGACCTGCCTCTTAGTGACCGCAGCTAGATATGCGCCTTACCCAGCAAAAGTCGAGACGTAGGTGGTAACCGCTTTAACTTCAGGATCGATGCATGACAACGAGAGTGTCACCGATCTGACGACCAACCTATTGAGGAGCACATGCTTACATCAATATCTGTTCTACGGCCCAGCCATGTCCAGTTTCCCTCTCACCTCCTGCTGTGAATTTACGATGGACCGACCGTTTCTGGCCATCGTTGGCTTAGCTGCTCGTCCATTAGCGATGTCTTCGGCCACAACGGCGGCCACTGGCGCCGCTAGCAGAGACAGACCGCTAAAGTAGTAGATTGTCGGCTCAGTCGTTCCCTCACCCACCTCGCGCGTCGGCGAATACTGCCGCCGCTGTTACTCGCCACAAGCCACACTGGCTCCGTTACTGCCAGCGCCGCTGCTATAGTCGTTATCAGTAGTATCGAGGGACCCTGAAGGCTGGTGACCGAGCGGAATATAGAATACATATATGAAATCTAAGGAGTAGACGAGAAGCAAGTCAGAGGTCAGTTGTCATTTAGCTCAGAAGTTAATCTGGGAAAACAGACGCTATCATACTAATTGTGCCACA